TAAACCGTCTGTTGGACCAATGTCGCCCTCCTGTGCCTGTTTGCTGGTACTGCACCTAAAATATTGACATTATTCTAATGGTTCTGAAAGAAAATGAAACAACTGTAATAAAACCAGAAAATACACCCATGCACCTAACATCTTCATCACGCTGTTGTAAAAACCATCTCTGACATTTCCTCTCCCTGGCTCGCACTGGTCAGCGAGGCGCTGTCTGCATTTTCACTGCTCATTAATGGCGCCCAGTCAGACGCAAGCATGTGCAGCATGGAACGAGACACGTGTGTTAAAATGTATTTGTACAGGATTTAAAAAGCTGACAGTGCTTCACAATAAATCTTAAGGCGCCATAGATTAAATTGAGGACATAAAAGCAAAAATAAAATAGATAAAACAAAAAGTCATACAGCCAAAATCTAGTTAAAACCATGATACATAAATCAGCTGCTGTTAAAAACAACATAGAGATGATTTTATTACCGGATGTAGTATGTTTGTGTCCCTGCTGCATAGTTCTGGAAACCCAGTTTTGTTATTGGTTGTTTTTAGTGGTTGAAGGTTACTATAATAGCTTACTGCCTTTGTGTGTTTACCTCTAATCTTATTAATTTCCCTTTTTCTTTTCTGTAAGTGTTTGTGCTGCTCTAGCAAATGAATTTCCCCACTGACATTACTGTTCTATTCTATTCATCCACCTGGGACCAGTGCTCTAAAACATCTCCTGTTGTGTGAAAAACGGGTGTGGGAGTTTCTACACCAGCCCACGACTAGAAGATCTTAGACTGTCCCCGTGTCCCCGTGATGGACTGACTGATGGAGTTCTGTAGCAGCTCCCTGAGACCACACTGAGAAATAAGCATGGGAGAGAGATAGTGGGTGGGTGGGGCTAATTTGGTTGAATTTATTATTTATTAATTTTATTTATTTATTTACTTACTTTTTAATCTTCTGAGTCTTCTGAGTGACGTCAGCGTGACGCGTAACTTCATGTTTTGCTGCACATCTCGACATGTCATGGCAACATAATTGGGGTGGCTCGCTCTTGGTCTCTCAGTCTAAGTTGAATTACTGAAAAAGATGGACTTTTACACAATATTTACATTTTTCCAGTTTCACTTGCATGTCCTCCATCAGATTTCTAGATGACCTGGTGTGACTTTTCCAAAGTGATGATTTGTGCTGGTTATTGTTATAAAATTTAACCTCACGGTTATTGTGACCAAAATTATCACGGTTTTCGGTATTATCGCGGTATTTTTTTAAACGTGTTACATTTTCAGACAACTAAATAATCCCTGTATACCAGGAAAATATTGTCCTCAGTTTGTGTCTAAGTTTTGCCTAAAGTTTGTCATTTTGTAATTATGTTGTTTATTTGTTTACATTTTTCCCCTTTAGTCTTTAAAATACCAATATTTGCCCATAACTTCTTAATGTTTGTCTGTTTGATGTCATCATTTTAAAAATATTAGACCAGATGATACTCAGGCCCTGTCCACACGTAGCCGGGGATCTGCCAAAACGTAGATATTTTTCTACGTTTTGGCCTGTCATCCACACGAAAACAGAGTTTTTTCACACGAAAACGGATCTTTTTAAAAACTCCGGCCAAAGTGAAGATCTGCGTTTTTTCCGTTTTGGGTGTCTGCGTGTGGACAGACAAAACCGGAGTTTTAAGGTCCGCAACGTCACTTTCCGCGACAAAAAAATGCTCACATCACGTGTGCGACCTGTGTTTACACTAGCCGACAGCATGGATGCCCTCAGAGCTGCGCTCGCTTTATCAATCGTCCAAGCGCTTTTTGCTTGTTTGTTTTTGCAAGCGGAATTACTGCTCATGGCGGAAGACCGCAGACGAAGGACGAGGTTAAGAACGGGGGAAGTACTACCGCCTACAGGTCTGGCATGTCCTTAACAACGTATTTATCCAGGTACGTGTGGACAGAGTTATTTTTTAAAACGAGGTGGTGTGGATGCAAGTTTTTGGAGGGGCGGATATTCGTTTTAAAAAGACCCGGCTACGTGTGGACTAGGCCTCAGTACGCCTTCTAATCAGATACCTTTTTACCCTTACTGTCATGAGCTGGGGTGAGTACTCTCTTCCTCTTAACCATCTGTGAGTCTCTTGCCAGGAGAGGGAGTGGCCCAGCTGTTCCTGATCAGCGGGGTGTTTTCCTATTTAAGGTGGATGGAGGACACAATTCGACGCCGGAAGATTGCCTCAGCGTGGTAGTAGCCAGCCACTCGAGTTATCTCTAGTATTTCTTGGATTAATGTTATTCGTAGTGTTTAGCTCTAGAATTTTTGGATGTTGACCTTTCTTGCTTCGCCTGGAACTGATTTGGATTTTTACCCTTCGTCAGGATTTCTGTCGGCCTCTTTAGATACTTACCTCTACTCCAGGATTTGGATTTTCAGCACGCGGACCATATCACCAACCTCCATAACCCACCTCTCATCTCAACCCAGTGCCCCATCCACCAGGACGCCCCGCTTCTCTCCACCTATGCTCCCTCTCCTGCGCTTCCCCCCGGCTCTCTACCTCTCCCTCCTCCAGCCAACATCTACACGCCCCACAGTAAGTTCTGCTGAACACCTCTGCCTACAATGGACTTCTGAATCAGAACCTATGCTCACCTGTGGTCTCCCTCCTCCAGACGCTGAGCTGTCGTAGCAGTTCCAACCACAGACTTATCTGTGCATCCCAAGTTCCTCCTTTATAAATAAATCATTTTACCATCCGTTTTTTGGTCTGTGTTGCATTCTGCATGTCTTGGGTTAGGTACCTTCCTCCAAACATGACACTTACTTGAGTAATGAAAATATATATCTCTCATATAAGCTCTTTCATATATTATTATAAGCTCTTTTATATGATTAAATATGTATCTCTCACTTTTGCTCCTTATATATTATCATAAATACATTATTATATGCCTTTTCATGGAATCTTGTTATAATATCAAAGACCTCTCTGTGCCTTTTCTGCTCAAGCTGAACAGCTGCATAAGGGAGTGAAAGCGTTCCTTCCTTCAGTTCCTCAATACAAGAACAACTGTCTTTGTTAGCAAAGGATGTTGCAGGATGTGTCCTGATCATCTCAAGGTTGCATGTCCTTGGGATGAATTGGTCTTTCATTAACAAGGCTATTAGCTGACGTGCGTCTGCAGGTGCAGATGGCAGAATTACGTGTGTGTATGGCAAACTACGTATGTAACATTCCTGTAATCTTCAATAAAAATCAGCCGTTTTCAGCAGAACGGCGAGAGTCTGTCCGAAGCATCTGGCAAGAGCAGGTCGCGGGACTTGCTGCAGAGACTCTCCCCCTCATGAGCGGCGAAACAGTGAATGGACTTCTGATCATTTGTCTCCTCGTTCTGTCAACTTAAAAAGGTGTTTAACTCCATCTACTCCGTACCCGTGCTTGGTCTAAAGGAAGAGAGACCAACAAATTTGGCGTCACGAACAGGATTTTTTCTTTTTGAAGAAAAAGGAGTTTTTGGAGGACAATTTGACCAACCGACCCAGTGAACGATCTTGGCACAGAACACCGCGGTGGAAAACAAGGTGAGCAGAGCCTATTATCTAAAATCTGCTCATTGGATTTATCCAAAGCCTTTGTGTCCAGAATCATAGTAGCTGAGGTCCTAAAATAATAGTTGGAGAAGAAAGTGGAGACAAGTGCAGAAAGAATAAGAGATTTTTTGTAATGGTTTAATGGTGAAATGAAATGAGGATTTTTCTAATGGTTTAATGAGTAAATGAGAAAAGGAAATAGTACAGATGAAGGGATGGTGACCCAGGGCTAATAGAGTAGCCCTAAAGTTCCATTTCCAGGTCGTGGCTGACCACACTATTTGCTGACGAGCGGATAGAATATATAACAAGGTTATATAAAGCTTGGCTGGATCCATAGGTGTGGGAACCCTAAAAGTCCACAGGTCAAGGACCTGGTTTTTTGTGTTAAGGGAAGGGGAGGCTAAAAGAGAGCTCCCTGGATTTTAAGGTCAAGGACCTGGTTTTTTTGTGTTAAGGGAAGGGGAGGCTAAAAGAGAGCTCCCTGGATTTTAAGGTCAAGGACCTGGTTTTTTGTGTTAAGGGAAGGGGAGGCTAAAAGAGAGCTCCCTGGATTTTTAAGGTCAAGGACCTTTTGCATGAGATGAGAAAAATGTTCTGAGGTAACTGTTTTTGCATAAGATGATAAATGTTTTGACTGCTTCTGTGTGAAGAGAGCAGTGCTTTTGGCTATTTCTGCGTGCTTTTGGCTGTTTTTGCATAAAATGAGCAATGTTTAAATATGACAAGCAGCCCAGTTGAAGCCACGAGAAATAAGGTTTTATTGAGAAAGTCAGCGGAAGAGGCGATGAAGAAAAAAGGGGTAGATGTTAACAGTAGAGGTAACTGGAGAAAGATTTGGGAAGTGAAGGCTGCAGAATCGAGAGAAAAAAGGCACAGCTGTAGACAAGCTTCCCTGTGTGTGTAAGCTGAGTTCAGCCTGTGTGTGTGAGGCGCAGCAAGAGGCTGCTTACGGCTCTGGATTGAAAGTGCAGCACTAGGAGAGTGCAGAATGCAGAGCAGAGTTTTGGGAGCTCCGTGTGTGTGTGTGTGTGAGTGTACAGCGCTGGGTGTGTGTGTGAAGGCCTGATGCGGTATCAGAAAATAAATAAATAAGATAAATAAGAGCTTTAAAAAGTTGCAACTCGTATATGTAAATTACACTGCAGTGCTAAAATTAATGTTTGGAGCTACGCAAAATTCAAATTCTGCAACCCTGTTCTGATCAGTCTTTGAACAGAACACCATAAGTTAATAAATAAAAGGGTTTTAAAGTAACATATGCATATGTATGTGTGTATGTATGTATATGTGTATACATATATACATATGTAGTGTAGAAGCGTGATAATCATTTGTGTGTGGGGCAGCATGTGAGTGACCCCGATCTGGGGGTTAAGTGACCTGGAGATGAAAAAAGGGAAAAAACCACCAAGAAACGCAAGTAAGGATGTAAATGACAGCTTTATTTTAGAAATATAGTCATATAGCTGCTAAACAGTAAAATCAAAACAGATCTGCAGAAAATAAATATATAAACTATTCCTCAGAGCGCTCTCAAAAAAATTGCAATTGGATTTGCTCTAATGTTACATAAGGCCTGCTTAAAAGCATAGTAAGCATTAAATTCTGAAAATAACCAGTGCAGTGTTAAATAAATTCTGTGCTTAAAATATTATATATATATAGAGAGAGAATAAATAAGTGACGAACTGACTTACCTTAAAAAAATAATAATAATAATAAAAAGAGACTGTGACAAACAAAGAATGTCTCTGTGCCTTGTGAATGAGTGAATGTGTGTCTTCTTGCATGAGCTGCTTTCGCTGGATCTTCTGAATGACGCAGTTTTTAATAGAGGGAGCAGCTGCTTGAGAAACAGGGTGCGGTCCATGTTTTTACTAGACGGTTATTTAGTTCGAGAGACTGTGGAAACAATAGAAAAAGAATTTATCGTTAGCGTGAGGACAAGAAAATCCTTTAAAATACAAAAGTTGTATGGTCGTGGTTATAAAGGAAGTATTTTGTCTGATTATGGGCCGTGGAGTCAGCTGGACTCCCTCGCTCTCACAGTTTTTCTGTGTAACATGCAGTTCTAAGCAATTTGTGACTTTAGAAAGGATATTTTTCGGTGTTTTGGACGTACCTTAAGGCTTCTGGTTAGGGTATTCAGGAGATCCTTCCTCTCGGACAGATCTAGTGAGAATGACTGGATTTTCAGCCTGGGGACCTGACTCCACCCACTTTTACACACAGGAGTCCCGCAGTCTAAAAATAGCACAGGGTACTGCGAAAAGCAGCTCTGAACCTCTCAGGATCATCTTTATGAAAACCATAAAATTAACAAATAATCAGTCAGGAAATAAAATATTTGTTAAATCTTGCTATAAAACAAAATCCAATAATTGTCTTACCTCAACTTTAAGAACCATTAACGTTAATGGCTGGATTTTGGGACGCTGAATAATGAAAAAACAGATAAACTAAGTATTATTTCCTGTAACCTGGCTAGAAACTGTACTAGGCTGTTTTGAGTAAAAAACTGGTAGTTATTTTCCCAAAATAAAATAGATAAATAAAAAATGAAAGGAGGGATCTTGCATTTGGGATAGATTGTGCCTAATGTTTAAAACCTGTGTAGAACTGATTTGACGAGTCAGAAAAATTGTGCATAGGAAATAGTCTAGATTTACCTTTGAGTCAATAAAGTTGACTAAATATTAGAAACCTTCGTTGATTTTGATTTGTAAAAGAGAAAGTTCTGTCCTTTCAACTCAATCAACATATTTAAGGAAAACGTTTGCTGTGCATTGTGGAGGCATGAACTTTACTGGGTGGGCCTGTCACAACCAGCTGCAAAGAATGTTTGGCTCTGACTTCTATACAAAGAGAACCTGGAAGCCCTCACCAAAAACTGTGACTCATAACATCAAGACGGGGAGCACTACAAGATGGACAAAGAGGCAGAAACTTATTTGCCCTGCTGCTGATGAAACAAAGTACAAAAGGGGGAGCATGTGTGCTAACATGTGAACTTCAATCAATGACGGTGGTCATCCTGGACTTACAAAGAGAGGCTCAAAAGAGACTGTTTCCTATGGTTACACCCAGTAAAAGAGTGCTTGCTGCAGTCAGGTAATGAACAAGGCTTTTTGGCAACAACCAGTTGAATTGATGAAATGTCAGAACTGTGGAAAATTTACTAAACTACTGTAGAACATAGTTAACTGAGAAAGTTAGCCTAAAAAAAGATAATAATAATATCAATAAATAAATAAATAATAGGATTAGTAACCTGGATTTCAGCCCAACTCATCATTGGACGTCAATATAATCTTTATTGTCTTAGGATTCTCAGCTGCAGCGGACATGCAGTAAAGCCTTATTTTCTTTTCAAAACGGAATACATCAGCGTCATCACTTATTTTCATTGGTTAAGGAAACGGTGTCTATTTATAAGTCTAGGAGAACGCTTTAGGCTTCAACAGTTCTCTCCTTCGAGCAAACATGCGCAAATTTCCGGATAGTTTATAGTAACGTTCCATCCCATTCCATTCATTGCATAAAAATAAACATTAAATGAATAATTTGGCATCCAGCTGACTAAATGATTCATGGAACATCTCATCCGAGACAACAGTGTTGTTTCAGCTCCGTTGAGTTTCCCAACAGATCTAGCCAAACCTAGCTGATCCTATATTTTTCTATCAGCTGTAAGTTCTAACGTAGAAAATAATGTCACAAAAATATTGAATAATTGTACCCCTCATTCGATAAAAATTATGTTCACATTTTTATCTTGTGAAATCTTTAACATAATATTTTTAAATGGCCGTTTTGACGACAATTGGCTAAAAAGTCTTTAAGATTATCATCACAGGATGGCATGATAAATAAGTAAATAACATAAATAAATAAATAGACAAAAATAAGAGAGAAAAAGCAAAATTAATTAAATGAAACGTAATAGTGATAAAACGTTAAATTGATCTAAAATCTGTCATTCAGCGCCACTGGAAAAAGGAAGACGATAGGGGAGTATTTCTTAGCACAAATCACGTTATTGATTTAGCAATGCAGCTTAATTTCAGATGCTTTAAGGATGATACTAACTTGTGTTATAGATGGAGGAGTAGCACAGAAACACTTCTAGATGAGGAGATAAGAAAAAAAAAACTGCTGATTACCAATACTATGCACAAACAAACCTGTAACTGCAGTTTCGTTATTTATGAATTAACCTTAAGTAGTGAATTAATTCTTAGGATTTCTTGTGCGAGTAGTGTTCCTAAAAAAGAAAGAAAGAAAGAAAGAAAGAAGGTAAGAAAGACAGGTAGTTTAGGTAAGGGACAACCTGAAACTATTTGGTTGAATTGATAGTAAAAGTGGTTGTCCTAATTTTTAATTGGAGAGATCACACCGCAACATGAGTTTAGAACGGCAGTTATGGGAAGTTTTGTTGGATTAATTTGATTACACGCCTTAGGTCTTATTTTTTCTTTCCACTGATTTAGCGTTAGGTTAAGTATTTCACACTTTCGCTTCAGTCTGACATTTGCTTGGTGTGTGAGGGCACAGAGACGTGTATGGACCGTGTGTTTGACTGTGTTTGTCTTGTTTGTTTGTTTATTTATCTATATGGGCGTGGCTGAGCCTTGAGAAACATCAACAAAGCCATTGGGCTATTCTGAGTAAATTGACCAATTCAACTTCAGGATCCTGAAACAATTTGGCTATAACCTCTAATTGATGAAGGACATCTTAAGAATTCATTATACAAGGCTTCCTCTCCAGTGTTGCCGGAACTGTTATAAAACCCATGCATGGTTGTATATTTTAGTTTGATCATTTATACTCATTGAATTATTGTTGTTTGCTTTGTGTTTTAATTTCTTTGTAATTTTTCTCTGTGACACAGGTGGAGATGCTGGTGGCGAAGTGGATCCCACTCATTTCTTTCTCCCACACACATTCTTACTCTCTCCCTCTCTCTGTGTGTGTCCATGTCGTGATGTCACTGTACCTTTAATTGCGCTTGCTGTTCGTAACTGTATGTGTCTGATGTTGAAGGTATCAGAGGCTAGGGTCAGTAAGAGCTAGGACATTTTTGTGCATAACCTCTAATCCCTAGGCGATCGGTCCGGGGAACTTCTGGTCCGGCCGGAGTGTGAATCTTCCTACCAACTATCTGCCGAGATCAAGGACTGCACAAGCCGAGAAAGCCTTCATTGGACCAAAACTACACACACGAAGAGGCTTCGTCTTCGGTGCCAGGCGTCTGGGTCCTGCTAAAAGTCACCAAAAGGAAGTGGACGGAACCGAGGTGGACCGGGCCATACAGGATCACGGAGAGGACATCACACGCTGTCCGGCTGGACGGGAGGAGCCTAACCTGGAAGAGAAGCAGCTGACATCTGCCTAACCAGAGAAAGGATCCAAAAACCAGGAAGAGAAGTAGCTGACTGCAGTAGCATGCCAAGCTGTCACCACATCCTGCAGGACGAGAATCATGACATCATCACCCCCTGCAGCTGCCTGGAGCCAGTGAAGGGTCCTCAACAGGGGGAAGAAGTAACCACCCTATGAACATTCTACAAGGGTTGTATTTAACACCCTCATTTATTTTACAAGGGTAATATTTTACACCCTCCACCTGCTGACCCAATTATCCAGATGCCCTTGTTACTAGCCAATCCTAACATCTATTTGGGAGGGGAACTCTCTGATGATAGTGATGACTCTCATGATGAAGAAGATGTTGTTAGAGTGTGAGAATGTTCAGTGATTTATGTAACCATCCCTTCACCAGTTCATTTTTATGATTTTTTTGTTTGTTTTGTTTTATTTTTTGTTGATCATTGATGTCCTAGGCATGCACACTCTATGCCAACAGGTGTTCGCCCCAAAATTGAGATATGACAAATGGGGGGACATGGGGGAATTTTCCCTATAAACATATGATAATTAGGGTTTTTCGCCCTCATATGGAGTTGCATGCGATCCATACATGTTGTAACATGTTCAGTTGAAAGTATGATCATGTTTTTTGTATTAGTTTACTGCTAGAAAGATGAGTAAATGTAATCTGATTGGTTGTTTGTATTGGTATTTTAAAACTTTGCTTATTGGATTCTTTTTGATGGAATTTGGTGTTATTGTTTTGATTTCTTATATCTTTATTGAACTCTTAAAAGAGTTCAAAAGGGGGATTGAAAATATATATCTCTCATATAAGCTCTTTCATATATTATTATAAGCTCTTTTATATGATTAAATATGTATCTCTCACTTTTGCTCCTTATATATTATCATAAATACATTATTATATGCCTTTTCATGGAATCTTGTTATAATATCAAAGACCTCTCTGTGCCTTTTCTGCTCAAGCTGAACAGCTGCATAAGGGAGTGAAAGCGTTCCTTCCTTCAGTTCCTCAATACAAGAACAACTGTCTTTGTTAGCAAAGGATGTTGCAGGATGTGTCCTGATCATCTCAAGGTTGCATGTCCTTGGGATGAATTGGTCTTTCATTAACAAGGCTATTAGCTGACGTGCGTCTGCAGGTGCAGATGGCAGAATTACGTGTGTGTATGGCAAACTACGTATGTAACATTCCTGTAATCTTCAATAAAAATCAGCCGTTTTCAGCAGAACGGCGAGAGTCTGTCCGAAGCATCTGGCAAGAGCAGGTCGCGGGACTTGCTGCAGAGACTCTCCCCCTCATGAGCGGCGAAACAGTGAATGGACTTCTGATCATTTGTCTCCTCGTTCTGTCAACTTAAAAAGGTGTTTAACTCCATCTACTCCGTACCCGTGCTTGGTCTAAAGGAAGAGAGACCAACAGTAATAAACCCTATATCAGGAAAATATCGTCCTCGGTTTGTGTCCTTCCAGTGAGCTTTGCAGATGTGGGAAAATGTCATCAGGCAGGTTGTAACTGCAAGTTTTTTTAATTACTGTAAAAATAAAAATGATTAAGAAATAGATTTTGAAAATAGCTCTTCGAGAAATGTTGTAATATTTTATTGCATTCTGTTAGTCTAGAATAAAATAAATATGATGAAATAAATATTTTTTTCAGTTTGTTTTTCTCAAAAAATAAAAATAAAAATGCTTAAAGCCACATGGCTCAAGATGTTCTGGCTGGTGTGTGCATCTTTGAACCCAAAACGTGATAAATTAAACAACTGCTTTTTGTTCTAACTTTTTATTAGCGAATGTGAAAGTAACACACACACACACACCTGCAGTATCTATCACTTACTGTTCAAGCACTTTGTTTAAATTTCAAACACTTGAAACCTTGAAAACATGAAGAATAAAGATATTCATGAACATGAATTGGAATATATTGCTGTAAACAGTAGCAGTTTTAGACCTGGACAATGGGGGCGGCAAAATGGGTATTAGGTACTGAAAAATCATTTTTATTTTCGGGAGTGCTGTGTGTCTTTTGGAGAACATATGTTACAGCGGCGACGGCTACTTGCTTTTTTGCTCTTGCCTTCTTTATGCCTTGGGGTATAAATGCATCACATATTGTAATAAGTTGGTCAAGTAAATCACGCATAAGGAAGTGTGATCGCCCAGGGCACCAAACGAGCTAGGACTGCCCCTGGTTGTAGATCTTAGCTCATGTATTGTTTTCTTTTGACATTTATATACTTTAAACATCTTAATACTTATAATTATTTTACAGTGTCTGTTTCGTACCTTGCTTCTAACCTTTTTTTCCGTTGGTTTGGCATGGACCTTGTTCATTTCGTTCAGAATTGCCATCAGAACCATGAGCGTTTTTAGCCTATGTTGGGGAGTGCTGAAGCACCCCTAAATCATCTCCCAGCACCCCTAAAATGTGAGAATTTAAAATGTTTATTTTTACTAAATGTTTTCATCACACTTGTAAAATGTAAAAAGCATACAGTGCTTGGTTGAAACGTCTTATTTCAGTAGCAAAAATGCAGCAAAGCTCTCCCTCCTCAAAAGTAGTTTGATCCTGTTCACCTTTGCCAGAGTCCAGCTCCGAGCCTCCGTAGGCCAGCAGCCTCCATAGCTGAGTGGCTGCTGTAGTAAAGGGAGACCAGAATTACCCGCAAATTGAAACACTGTCCCACGTTGCTGACGGGTTTCCGTTTCATGTTTAAATCTTGAATTAAACTGTTTGTGAAGAGAAAGCAGTGGCTGTTAATCCAGCAAGGACGCGGGATTTTATGCAGGAGCGCGCGCCGCGCATGAACCACACCAACAAAAGGAAAGACAGAGCGTGTGGAGGAAGGACTGTCATGACCCTGCCATGCCTTGACCTGCATACACCATAATTCATCTCATCAGCCTTCATTCATCACACCTGGTCCCCTCATCAAGTGCTGTAAGCAGACTCCAGGGGCAGCATGTTGATATGTGACATTACCAGGGGGGCTGCCAGAGATTTTGGGCCCCATGAAAAAATATCAAGTTGGGCCTCCTGGGGGCTTGTCCATAGCTGGAGCTGGGGTTCCAACCTCCCAGATTAGAAGGGAGAAAAAAATATAATATATATACTTCATATTAGTGTTTCAGTTTTGCTTAATTATGTAGGTCTACATGCATTCTTACTTATTTACATATCATTTTCACCAGCTGTCTCTCATTAAACAGTGAATTTCCTTCAACAGAATTAGCAATATCACTACTGGAAAAAGCAGGAAATGCTGAAAGGTGTTAATCTCCTTTTCCCTATTACTCCCTTAAAATGTGTTTATTTATTCTAAAATTTTATTTGATGATAAAATTCAAATTTGGATATCTAATTAAATTTCCATGTTGTGTCAAAGCTTTACATAACTACATTTTCAGCTGTCTTCTGTCACGACGTGCTGGTGAGTGGAGCGGATGTAAGGATCCAAACGCTGGGGAGCAATCAGGCAGGCAGACAACCTGGGACAGGTAAAGTCTTTTAATGATAAACACGCGCAGGACATGGGAACAACGAGCCAACCAGAGACACAGAACTGGAGGGGTTTAAATACAAGCGGGGTGGGAGCTTGGGTGATTGGAAAACGAGAGGCAGGTGGGAGCAATTAACAGAGACGCAGGTTGAACAAAATAGGGAAACAGGACAGGATGTGACATCTTCCTACATTTTTACTGATTGATATATATAATTATCATTATGTGGGGAAACAATGTGTTTATCACCAAAAATAGCCTTTTTATATTCCTATTAAGAAGACAGCCTTAAGTGATTCCCACAGACCCCCTTAAATGAGGTTGCTAGCTAACATGCAACATTGCTCACCTTCTTGAGGTTCATTGGGTTGTGAGGGGACACCTGCTGACATATCATCAGCTGCTGATTCTGGTAGGGACAAGGACAACAACCCATTTACCATAATTAGATGAAACATAGTTCTATTTCGTCTAGTCTTAGCCCTTAAGCTAGTTGCTATTGGAAGGATGATCTCAGCATCAGCCAATCATGAAGAGCTTAAATGTACGCCCACCAATGGTGGGCACCCCTTGTGGGTATATAAGTGGAGCAACTCCACTGTTCGCCTCCGTTATCTCTTCAAGCCAAGCTTAAGAGCTTTCTTTAAAGAGCAAATTATCTAGAAACAACAGTCAACTCACCAGCCATGTCCAGCAACGCAAGGACCTGCCCGGCCTGCCAGACGGGCTACATCTCCAGCGGCGACCTGCACGTCAAATGTGAGGTCTGTCTCGGGCTCATCACGCTGGCCTGGCCTTGACCCCCCAGGCCTCGTGCCCGTTTTGTGCTGCTCTGCCCGTGGCTGAAAAGATCCGCCGGGTCGAGTACTTCACCCCCGCCGCTGACGAGGAATTTCCGGTGGCTAACAAGTAATCGCTGGACAAGGCCCTACAGTTCTTCAAAGTCGACCAGGAGCCGGCTGGCTCCTGCCGACTAGACGATGTCATCGACAGCAAGGAGTACGGCGAGGCTGGCTGCCATAGCCCTTCTTCCCTCCTGGACAACACGGAGGTCGACGAGCTTCCCTCAGCGGGCTCCTCTGCTCCAGTTCCTTCTCGCTCCTCATTGCCAGCAGTTAGAGCACTGCTCCAGGAGCTACCTGCCATCATCTCCGCGGCTGCAGTCCGCAAGGGGCTAGCCGTGCCAGAACCGGCTCCGCCTGAAGCAGATGATTTGGCGGGAATTTTCGGGGCAACACAAACGCGCTGTCCAGACCCCATCTGGCCGCGCTTCCCCGCTGCCATGAGCTGCTGGTCCGCCGCATTCTCCGAACCTGCTAAGGTCAAAGTGCCAATTTCCACGTATGCGCCCATTACCAAGGTCAAGTGCTTCTCCGACCAGGGCTGGCCATCCGTTCCTCCACTGGAGCCGGACTTGGCCTCGCTGTTTGGTGCCAAGAACTACCTCACTGGCCCGCGAGCAGTTCCCGCTTCTAAGCATGACCAGCTGCTGACGCAGCTCACCGATCGCGCACACCAGTGTGCCTTCCAGACCGGCGCTGCAGGAAATAACATTGCCCTTCTTGCCTTTGTCATTTCCAAAATGGTGGAAGAGCTTGACGTTCCTGACGAGTCGAAAACCATCATTACTAAAACTGCTGATTCCATTCTCAATCTGTGTGCTGCTGTACTCAGCGGTTCTGCTCACATTGCTGCCTGGCAGACCCTTATCCAGTGGGCCTTGTGTCTCATGGCCCTGCCCTCCATTCCTGAACACCTGCACAGAGAGATGCTGGAAGGCCCCATCAGCTCTGATGTTCTGTTTGGTCCCCATCTTAGGAGTGTCATCGAGATGGCTCAGAAGACAGCTGAACTGTCAGCCACGGTGTGAGACCTGGTCCACCCTCGGTCCGCCTCTCACTCCGGCCGTTCCTCCAGAGGATTGGACGAATGGCGCGGAAACTTCAGACACCCAGCTGCTCCGCCCACCCCACCGAGCCGGCCTCCCGCTTAGGTTCCATCTCAGCGGGACCAGAGAGTTGGCAGCCAACAGTTTCGAAAGAGCCAGCAGATACCATCTTGGCCGTCACAGTCGCAATAACCTCGCTGAAAGCAACCACGAAAATGACTCGTTGGGGGGGGAATGTGTGTGCTTCTGACTGTAATGTTAACTCTGTGAATGATTTTGGTTTTGAAAAAAAACCCAAAAAACGTCACATTGAGAGCACAATCCTACAGTCCTCTGCAGAATCCTCTGCCGAATCCTCACACATGTTCCCCACACCAAGCACTGCGACACACCTGCATGTTCACGCAGTCAGTCATATTACACGAGCAGCTGTAAGGGTGCGCTCCATTTGCGCACTGGCCTTAGCTTCCAGCCAGGCCCAACACATACCGCTCCCCCCACAACGTAGGGTGGGACGGGATGTCATGGCGCTATCATGACCACACGCAGCGACACAGTGAGCGGCTCCATCTGCTGGCACTTTGTCGTCCCCATGCACGGGTCTGGCTCCCACTCGTCCTTTATCTTTGGAATCCACGCTCTACGGTGCGGTTTAGCCTCTTCCAGCTGTTTCACACTCGCCCTTTCGAGCGCAGCCCTTTGTGGGTCGCTCCCAGTTCTCTGGTGCGAGCGACGGCGATAAGGGCGCGAACCCAGTCCTCAGACGTTGTTCACGTGACTTCGAACACGCGTCCGCTGTCGGAACGCGCGCAAGAATGGCGCCGCTTTTGTCTCATGAGCAAATGGATATCGGACACCATTCAATGCAGTCACACACTCCATTTTCAGTCCGCTCCTCCTCCCTTCAACGGGATCGTGGAGACGACGTTCACATCACAGGAACATTCTCAGGCCCTGGAGC